CAGCATGGATGAACTTTGAAAACATTGTGCTAAGTAAAAGAAGCCAGTCACAAAAGACCACATGCTATATGATTCCATTCACATGAAAGTACACAATATAGGAACCTACAGACACAGAAAATTGATTAACCCTAACCCTAACCCTTAACTTATACGAGCTGGGCCTGGGCGTGCACCCATGGTTTCTAGAACTGGGAGGGAGTTATGGGAAGACAGGTGTGGGGTGATAGCTAAAAGGTTATAGGTTTCTTTTTTTTGTTTTCCCTTGAGTTGGAGTCTCACTCTGCCAGCCTCGGCTTGCTGTGCTCAGGCGACCCTTCTGCCTCAGCCTACCAAGTATCTGGAACTACAAGCGTGTACCACCACGCCCAGCTCGTTTCTTTGTTTTTAATTGTAGAGATGAGGTCTTTCCAAGTTGCCCAGGCTGGTCTCAAGCCTCTGAGCTCAGGCAATCCTCTTGCCTCCACCTCCCAAAGTGCTGGGATTACAGGCATGAGCCACCACACCTGGCTTTAGGGAAAGTGCTGGAATTACAGGCGTGAGCCACCACACCTGGCTTTAGGGGTTTTTTTGATGTTCTAAAATTGACTGTGGTGATGGTTGCTTATATTTGTGAATATACAAAAAGCTGTTAAATTGTATACTTTAAATGGGTGAATTGTTAAGGGAACTACTATATGTTTTAATAAAACTTTTTTTTTTTAAAGTGCTATTGGCCATCATGTATGTGAGTCTAAAGCTTGAAAGAGAAGCCTGGGTTGGAAGTAATTGGGAGTCATCATTATGTGCACAGTAGTTTGTTTTTTATTTATTTAGTTTTGAGTTGTAGTCTCACTGTTGTCTAGGCTGGAGGGCAGTGGCATGCTCATGGCCACCGCAGCCTCAACTTGCTGGGCTCAGGCAATCCTTCCACCTCAGCCTTCCAAGTAGCTGGAACTACAGGCATGTGCTACCACACCTGGCTAATTTTTTGATATATTGTAGAGATAGGAGTCTCACCAAGTTGCCCAGGCTAGTCTTGTACCCGTGGGCTCAGGCAATCCTCTCACCTCACCTCCCAAAGTGCTCGGATTATAGACATGAGCCACTGCACCCGACCCATAGTAGTTTAAACGTGAAAATGGATACAATCACTTTGGGAGAGCATGTAGAATGAAGGGGAAGAGAATCTAATGAAATACATGGTCAGAGATCATAGGAAACATGGAATATAGTGTCACAGAAACCAGTGGGATGGAGTGTCTATCATAAGATAAATACACAAGGGATTATAATCACAACTTCAAATTCAATAGGAAAGCCCAGGTAAGAAAGGGGGAATTTAGTGTTAATAGTGATTGATTTGGTGGTAATAACCACCTGAAACACAAAACAGTTAGTGTCCACAAAACAGTGAGTACAGGATCCAGATCATACAGGAGAGGATTTTGTGCCCATAGCTCCACTAAAATCACTTGCAAGGTCTTAACCTGCATGTTTCCACATCCAGTGGTCAATTTTTAGTCATCTTAATCTGTTTCTGGAGCAAGGATGATGCTGTTTATACTATCTTCATGAAACGTTTTTGGTTGTTTTATAAGGTGTCTCTCATTCTCTTGAGTTTTCTTATTCTTCTTATTTCCTGGTTGTTCCTTCCTTTTTTTTTTGAGTTGGAGTCTCACTCTGTCACCCAGGCTAGAGTGAAGTGGCACGGTCGATCCTTCCACCTCAGCCTTCCAAGTAACTGAACTACAGGCGATTGCCACCATGCACAGCTAACTTTTTTATTTATTGTAGAGACGAGGTCTCTCCAAGTTACCCAGGCTGGTCTTGAACCCCTTGCCTCGGCCTCCCAAAGTGCTGGGATTACAGACTTGAGCTACTGTGTCTGGCCCCCCCTTTTTTAAAAAGACATTTTTCAGGGATGATCCTTCTCTCTGACTTCTCTTAGTTGTAATGTCTCAGGGATAGAGGTCTCAGTCTTTAATCTTTTTTTCCATATTAACTAAGTGAGCTCTCTCCTCCCCATGGCTATCTGTCCTCCCCATGGCTATTTGTAACTTAAAATATTTTTTTCCATATTAACTAAGTGAGCTCTTTCCTCCCCATGGCTATCTCTCCTCCCCATGGCTATTTGTAACCGTAATGACTCCTTAATTTATGCCTCCAATTGTTCCTTTTCCTGTGAGCTCCAGATTCATATTTCCAATTGTTTACTCGGTAGCTCCATTTGGAAATCTAGTAGGCAGATTAACATGTCTGGCTCAGCCTGTAATCCCACGCTTTGGGAGGCTGAGGTGAGTGGATTGCCTGAGCCCACGGGTTCGAGGCCTGCCCGGGCAACTTGGTGAGACCTCATCTCTACAATAAGAAATAAAAAATAAAAAAAATTAGCCGGGCGTGGTAGCACATGCCTGTAGTTCCAGCTACTTGGAAGGCTGAGGTGGAAGGATCACTGGAGCCCAGCAGGTCGAGGCTGCAGTGGCCGGGACCTGTCTGGGCGACAGAGACTCCAACTCAAAAAAAAAACAAAAAAACATGCCTGAAACAATTGAATGTCTTCCCCCCAAAACCTGCTTCTGACCTCCCACATGCTCTGTCTCAGTAAATGGTATTACTAGTCATCCAGTTACTCAAATAAAAAAACTGATTCTTGATTCTTGTCTTTATCTTGCACCCCACATTCAATCTATTAGCAATTCACTTCTATACCCCACATTCAAATCTATTAGCAATTCACCTCTATACCACTTTCAAAGTACATCCTGAATCCAGTCACTTCCTCCCATTTCCACTGTGACATTAGTCTTGCAGGTCTTCTGCAATAGCATCCCTAACTGGTCTGTCAGCTTCTATTTTTGCCTTCCTTCAGGTAGCTCTCAAAGCATCAACCAGAGTGAACCTCTTAGTTACCTCTTAGTTACTCTTTTACTCAAAACCCTTCATGACTTTCCGGCACTCTTAGGATAAAACCCAAAGTCCTTTCTTTGGTCCATAAGGTCATAAGTGATCTGGCTCTCGTCTTGTTTCTCCAAATTTCCTACCTGTTCTTTTGTCACACTAGCTTCTGTGCCGGGCACACTCGAGCTTCAGGGTCTTTACCTTTCTATGTATAGCTTACTTTCTCAGTTCAGATCTGTACTCAAATGTCACCTCAGAAGGGAAGCCTTCCCTGAAACCCCTATGTAAAAGAGAATATCCATCCTCGTACTCCATTTTTACACTGTCTTATTTTCCTTTACAGTACTCTTCATAGTTGAATATTGTCTGTGTCTCTCTCTTCCACATTCTCAACCCCAGCACTAATAAGTTCCAGGAAGGCAAGAATCTTGGTTTGTTTTATTTACTGCTGCAGTCCGAGCACCTAGAACAGGGCCTCCCACGTAGCAAGAATTCAATAAGTAGTTGTTAACTGAGTGAATGAATAGGATGGTAGGGCATTAAATAGCTACTTTGTCCTGTAGCCCTCTTCTAGGAGTTGAGAAATGAAAAAGACATAGTCCGTGTTTATACTCTAGTAGTACCACTGGATTACAAATGTTAATTATGGCCAGGTGTGGTGGCCCACACCTGTAATCTCACCATTTTGGGAGGCTGAGGTGGGAAGACTGCATGAGCCTGGAAGTTTGAGACCAGCCTGGGGCAACATAGCAAGACCTCCTCTCCATAAAAAATAAAAATATTAGCCAAACATGGTGATGCATGCTTATAGTGCCAACTACTTGGGAGGGTGAAGAGAGTGAATCCCTTTGGCCCAGGATTCAAGGTTGCAATGAACTGTGATCGTGTTACTGCACTTCAGTCAGTCAGGGTGACAGAGAGAGACCCTGACCAAAAAAAATATATATATATATACACACACGCAATTATAGATTGTCACAGGTTTAAAAAATTATGAAAAAAACAATGCAGAGTAAGGCGATAGAGGAGGAGGATGACTGGGTTCCATTTTAGTTGGAATAGTCAAGAGCTCCCTCTCTTAGGAAGTAGCATTTCAACAGAGACCTAAGTGGAGACATCAAGTCTAGTAGATCTAATAGATGAACATTCCAAGAAGCAAGCCCTGGGGCTAGGTCATACTTTGGTTGGAGTGACAGCAAGGCCAGTGAGTCTAGAGTAGTGCTAGCCAGTGTGGGAGGAGATGAAATCATGTGCCAGATCATGTAGGGCCTTCGTTAGGGGCCGTTGTGATATTGTTATGTGGTAAGCTATTGAAGGTTTTGAGCAGGAAGTGGGAGTTGGGATGGGATGGGGAGACGGAATAACCTGACTTCCCACGGCGCTATTCTGTGTTTACCTGTAACAGGGCAATAATGGAAGTAGGCAAACCGGCTGTCCGTTGTAGCAGTCGTAAGTAATACATAATGACTTGGAATGGAGGAGACAAGAAGGGGTCAGCTTCTCGCCCCGTGGCCTTCTGGTAAAAGCTTCCCGGCCGGGCAGCTGGGAGCGACCCTGTGCAGGCGTCCTTTGGGCGTTAGGACCGAGCGGCGTGTACAGAAGTCACCCTAAGTCACCCGGCCCACTCTTGGGACCCTTCACCACAGCACCCCCTTCCAAGAAGAGCCTAGCTGCACGTCCAGCGTCTGAAAACCTGTAAAAATGGGTAAATGGAGGCTCTCGGAGGGAAGCAGGCCTCGATGGTACAGAAGCCACTTAAGGAAACACAGTCCCAAAAGGAAATGGGGTTTTCAGAAGAAATCTGGCAATAACTGGGTTCCCAGTGTTCAAACGCGGCAAGACTGGCGGTCGGCCAGGAGTGTGCCAGCCGGTCTCTGAGAGATGAAGTCGATCCCCATTCCAACTCTGGAGAGCACCTAACTCGTACTCGTTATGGGTATCGCTGGGGAAGCGAGCCCAACGACGCCCCACGAGAGCAACGGCGCCGCCCCGGCAGTGCGCACGCGCTCCCCGCTCTGCTTGCCGTTGCCGCAAGCCCCGCCCCGCGGCGTCCCTCGGGGAGGGTTGCGGGCCGCGAGCTCGCGCGACCACTCTCCCTCGGTCTTCTCGAGTGCATCGTCGCAAACGGGGCCGGAAAGCGTGGCGGCGCAGGCGCAAGCGCAGAGAGCGGAGGCGGCGGCGGTGGCGGCCGCTGGCCAGTGTAAGATGGCGGCGGCACTGGTGGTGGCAGTGGACGGGGCGGCGGGGCCTGGAACAGTCGGAGCAGCCGCTGGCAGAAGGATGACCAGAGACGGGAAGCGGGCTGCTGAGCCTCGCCGGCTCCCGTGCTTGTAACTGCCCCAGCCGGACGCCTCCCCTTGACCTACCCGGTCCGTGTCTCGTTCCGGTTCGGCCTGCCCCCCTCTCCCTAGCCGGTCCCCCACAGGATGGGCCTGACCCCCCTCCCAAGCTCTTAGGGCCCCGGCCTTCTCCTTTCCCTGACCGGAGTCATCGCCGGGAGAACTGGTTGTCCTTTTCTCAGGTCAGCCCTGGGGTTGCCTCCGAGAGCCAACCCCACAGTTCACAGGGACGTCTTGCTTCGCCGGGTGACCCATTTGTGTGCTCCCGGTTCTCTCCTTAGGTCAAGGGTCCACGGCTCGCCCTGCGTCTCCCCGCCGCCTCAGGGCCACCGCGCAGTGTGTCCCCATCCCCCATCCCAAGTTCTCAGGTCCAGCACCTTGTACGGAAGGCCGAGGTCCAAGAATTCTGAAGTCAGTTGTCTGGTCTCGTACTCTTTGTGATATAATTATCTTAGTTTACCTCCCCACTCCCAAATATTTTAGGAGCCCTTAGAACGGTCCCGTTTGGTCCCTGTTATTTGGAAAGCATCTGGTGGCTTGAATTTCTTACTCACACGATTGTTGCTGGAGTCTCTGTAAACAAACCGGCACTGGCACTATCACATTCTCTCCCGGATTCCCCCCCCTTCTTCTTAGAGGTTGGTTATGTTTTAGCGTTGAGGAGCTTCAGATTATCCTTTTAAATGACTTTTTACGTTTTAGTGGAGCTGGGAGATTACTTGCCTGGCATCTAATCCTCGTGTTGGTTCGTTTTATTTCCATGTGTGGGGGTTATATCTTCAGTAATCAGACGATAAATTACCCTGGTTTTGAATAGTTTTGAAGAGGTCTAAAAATACTAAAATGTATTCGTAAATATTTTTATTGTGTTTAGTACAAGACACACCTTTGCCATGTAAACTTTAACTTTTCTCAGCCCTTCAGTGAATCTACAGACCTGTTTTCTCAGGAGCTCAGCCTGGCCTTACTTCAGTGATAAAAGGAGGAAAGGAAAGGTGAGTGGGAGCTGGAGGCTTTTAAGTTCCAGAATTCAAGACAGACGCTCAAGTGCTGACCACTGAAGTCATAAAATTCCTACCACAGTTTCCCAAAGAGTCTGGGTATTGTTCTTGGCTTTGTTCCAGCACTGGTTAAATTACTTTCACAAGTTTAATTGGCTGTAGGCTTCTTGTCTTTCTGGCCTAAAGTGTTGTTGTATTTCTTCAAGTGACTTGAGTTAAGCCTGGAAGTGAATGTGTGCCCTCCACCCTGTCTCCCTCTTTCTTCTTTCTTTACTTACCTGGCGGGTTTTTTTGTTGTTTTTTTTTGTTGTTGTTGTTGTTTTTTGGGTTTTTTTTTTTTTTGAGTTGGAGTCTCACTCTGTCGCCCAGACTGGGGTGCAGTGGCTGCTCCCAGCCACTGCAGCCTCGACCTGCTGGGGTCTAGCGATTCTTCCGCCTCAGCCTTCCAAGTAGCTGGAACTACAGACGTGGTGAGCTACCACTCCCGGCTAATTTTTTGATTTATTATAGAGATGAGGTCTCACCAAGTTGCCCAGGTGGGTCTCGAACCCGCAGTAATCCACTCACCTCAGCTTCCCAAGGGGCGGGATTACAGGCTGAGCCACTGAGCCCGGCTTGGCGTTTTGTTTTTATGTGGATCATTCTTCTTACTTTGTTTAAAAAACTGGGAATCTGTCTGAGTTCTGTTCAGCCTTTTGTCAAATCAGATCTCTTCCCTTCTCCAGCTTTGGGTTGTTCCTTGCCATTTAAAAGAGAACATTTAAGCCGGGCTCGGTGGCTCAGCCTGTAATCCCGTGCCTTTGGGAGGCTGAGGTGAGCGAATTGCCTTAGCCCGCGAGATCGAGACCCGCCTGGGCAACTTGGTGAGACCTCATCTCCACAATAAATCAAAAATTAGCTGGGCGTGGTAGCGTGCGCCTGTAGTTCCAGCTACTTGGAAGGCTGAGGCAGAAGGATCGCCGGAGCCCAGCAGGTCGAGGCTGCGGTGGCTGGGAGCTGCCACTGCACTTCGGTCTGGGCAACAGAGTGAGACTCCAACTCAAAAATAAACAATAAAAAGAGAACATTTAGCTGCTTGTGACTAAAAGTTGGAGAGTGATGAGTAATGCTGCCTTTGGTTGGTGTCTGAGTACAATCCATCTTAGAATTTCAACTTTTCAGGATATATATGGGAAAATTTTGGTTAAAAAAAGAAACAGTGGCAGTTCTTTCTTTTGTAGCTGGTTTGAATCATTCTTGGTTAGCAGAAGAATCACCCTGTGTATTCAGTAGTGTAAGCCAGTGGCAAAAAGGGAGTCAGTCAGGACATACTTATAATTGTAGTTTTTTGTAAGGCTCTTAGGTTTCTGGTAGCAGAGAATAGAGGCTCATGGGATCTGACAGAAGTGCTGAGTGGCTCTGGAGGGTAGGGCTGACTGATTCTTAATATCTTTATGATTTGTATTAGGAAAAGATTGAGAATGACACTGGTGAGTTTCATTCTACCTGGTGCCTTGATTAGAAAATGCTCATTATGGACTGGAGTAAAATTATTAATGATGTGTGCATGTGTATCAATACGATATAAAGAGAAAAGTACAGTCTTTAGAGATGGACAGACCAGGATTTAAATATTGTACTAAGATTTATTAGCTATGTGACCTTGGGCAAGTTACTTACTTAAACTTTTGTGACTCTTAATTTCCACACTCTAAAAGTGGGATGATACCATTTACCTTCCAGGGTCATTGTTAGTATTATATGAGGGAATGTCTATAAAACTCTTAGGTTATGCCTAGCACATGGTGGACACTCAAAAAGTATTTTCTGTTTTCTTTACACATCATTAATATAGTTTTGAATAAGTCATAAATTAGTTTATTTTTCTTTACATTTTGCCTTAGAACACATTTTTCTAGTTAATTTTTCATATTCATTTTTAATTGGCCAGCTTAAGTATGTGCTTTGTATGTGTCCACCTAGAATTATCTTTTGAACATTATTCTGGGCATTCTGATGGGGGGGGTTCATGACCCGAGGACAGAGGGACTATAAAATGTTGGTGTACATATGTTTTGGAATGCATTCTTCAACAAATTTCTTTTGTTCATTGCTTCTTCTTGGTCTCTATTAACACAACTGATAATATTCTACAGTGCTGTAACTCCTCTTTCTGCTACAGTGTTATTCACCTCTACTGCAACTGTCCCTTATACTTTTTTTTTCTTTTTTTGTGGTAGAGGTAATATGTTTTTTTCCAAGTTGTTGAGCTCCGTATCAACAGATTGTCAAATTTGTTTCAGACTAGAGAAAGGCCTCGTTTCTTTCTAAAGTGAATCAGGGCTAGGGAGTTAGGAATAAAGGGTGCTCTTTTCATCTGTACAGCTGGATCATCTTAATAATATGGCAGCACAGATGGAGAGCTTTTTTTTTTTGAGTTAGTCTCACTCTGTCACTCAGGCTGGAGTGCAGTGACACAATCATGGCCACCATATCCTCGACTTGGTGGACTCAGGCAATCCTTTTGCTTTAGCCTTCCAAGTAGCTGGAACTACAGGCATGTGCCACCACGCCCAGCTAATTTTTTGATTTATTGATCTCACCAAGTTGTCTAGGCTGGTCTTGAACCCCTGGACTCAGGCAGTCCTGTCGCTTCCACCTCTCAAAGTGCTAGGATTACAGGTGTGAGCCACACACCTGGCAGATGAAGAGTTTTAAACCTTTTTTTGTTGACTTTTCTTCCACGTCTTTTTGAAGGAAGCAATGGCACATGAAAATTAAGAGGGTACTGATAATATTCCAGTGAAGCAACCGTATTCATTCAAATCAATGAATAGTAATAATAATAATAGGGTTGATCAGCCTTCATTGCCACCATCCACACCATTCAGAGTTTAACTCCATTGTAAGGTAAACACTTGGGAGGGGTAGTGAGGTGGGATGTGATTGAGATTTAATTTGTATCATTTGTGTTTTTATGAGATCTGAAGATCCATGTAGGGTGAAGGAAAGAGTAGGAGGAGAAAATAAAATATGTTGAAAAAGACATAACCCGACCACACTGTAAAATTCTCATCTTTATGAAGATATTTTTATATTTCAGGTTTTTTGGTGTTACTTAAGAAGTGTGGCATCTTATGAGGTAGTGTTTCCTAGGATGACTGGGGTGGGAGGCTAGGTATGCTTGTGACCTTTTAGTTCTTGCTACCAACCTGGCAGTTACAATGCTGTCTGTTAAATGTATGTGCATCACTCTGGTGTCATGGTCCTTGGTGTTGACTAGGACCAACCTAAGATAGAAGCTTGTATTCAGAGAAAGCAGAAAGAAAGCAGTCTTTTTGTTGTTGTTGTTGCCAGTTTAAAACAATATTGACATTTCAAAAGCAAATGGACTCTAGTAGAAGACATTTTATAGAAGTACAAACTGTTGTGGGAGACTGAAATCTTCAGAGTTTCATGCTCTAGATCCTGTTTTCTAACAGGTGAGTTACAGGCTTTTACAATAATGAAGTGACTAAACTGCTCTCAGTAGATAGGGTTATTACTGGGTTGTTTCTACTATAGAAAAGTTATTCTAAGCTTGTTTAGGAAATGTCTAGATTATAAAAGAGAAACAGAGCTATTCAAACCGAACTTTTTATTGCATAACATTGGTGTTAAGAGTTAGTTTTTAAGTCTCTAAGATTGAATTAGCTTTTTTTTTTAAAGCAGATTATCAGTGAGCCAAGATAATCTGCTGTTTACCTTCCCCCATTTGGAACCCAGGCAACTGAATTAATTGAATCAGCAGTAGGCCTGGAGGTTGTGACTATGTATGTCTTCATTTTAGAGCCAAAGCCAGCAAATTTTAGATTAGCTTTACAATAATGTTGAAAACTTCACCTTTCGTGTTCATGAATGTACCCAGGAAACTTCACTGCTATTAAAATTGGTCAGAAAAGGAGGCTACCTGTTCTTGTTTGCTGAGTTAGTCCCTTTACTTTTGGAGTGAGAAGAAAGTTCTTTAAAGCTTTTCAAAAATTAGTCTGTGATGAATTTTATGAATTTGTCATTTCTTTATAGCAGTCCAGTCTTTTATCTCTGCTTCTGTGGGGCTTAGTTTCTGGGCCAGAAGCCCAATTTTTCAAGTACCACCTAACCCGAGGAATGTGTTATGATACAGATAAATTAGTGAACAGAACCTATCTTGTTTTTGCCAGTAT